CTTGCATCTGTCAGCTCTCAATAACTAAAATCCTTTTTACAAGTTATAGCCAATTTGGGTTTTATTTCCGATACAGTAGTGGAATTTTTTTTTTAGCAAAGATGTCATGGAATCATTAAAGTTATTACGTGCCCATAAAGATCCAGAGGAGCTTTCTTATCGTGTGCGTCTTTTTTCTTTTTCTTATCAAGACTTCAACAAATAAAGTGCATGGTCAAATAGGAAATGATATTTCTCCAGGTAAAATTCTCTATACACAATGTCTGTTTATAAAGCATATGAAAGAGAGCACATAACTATTTTACCCTTCATTCATAAATGATAAAAAATGCAAGTGTTTATAATTTCATTGCATCACTAACAATTTGGATTTAAATCTAATCAAGCAAGTAACATGGCTGTGATAACCTAAATAAACATCTAACATACTATAATCGTATTATCTATATGATAACTTCTATTTCGTTTTTTTTAATCATTGTTTCATTGTTGTTGCCTTGATAGTCATTACATCACAGAAAAAGATTGTGAGATTTGCATTTGTATTTTCATGGATATTAATCTACAAGATTATCGCCTTATTTGTCTCTTAATTGGAGAGAATAATGAAAACTTGAAGACTGAAGCTATTTTTATTTTATCATGTATATAAGAAAGTATAAAGCATCAACAGTTGAATCAATGGCCTTTCGATCAATGTTTTTCTTTTTTTTTACTCAAAGTTGAACTTATGATGATACCTTCTTTAATTAATAATTATTTATATGCATCGCTTTTTGCATGGTATTATGGCTCGGAAAACCATGGGACGATAATACCTTATTCTGAAAAGAATGGTTAAAAAGAAAATGAAAAACTTACTAAATACATTGAGAAATGGCTATAGAAACTGGAGATCTATCTATCCTCATGAAAGCTGGCAAGGTCTTGAATCCGTGGACTACAAAAAAAGTGAAAGATGGAAAAATCTATGATTACTGATCATTTTTGGGTCGAATTTGTATGGTGTTTAGGCTATAGAGGTGCAGAAAGAGTTGCTAGATCATGTACATATATAGTGCATAAAAACAAGACTTTGTGTTCAAATCTTTGGTTCCAAAAGAAGCATGTTTTAGGGGGAGGCAATTTATTAAGATCGCCAATAACTTAATTACTTTTTAGGGCTAAATGCAAAAAATAACAATTTACTCTCATTTATGTGTATATTATACCATCTTATTTTTGTTTATAGAATGTTTGTTTCTATAATAATGGTCGTACACAAGTCATTTAATAGTGCGAGTGGTTTTTATTTTCGATGTGGTCACTTCTAAAAACCGTCTTGTTAAATATCTATAGCATCAAAAAATAAAAGAACCACACTATAAAATAGCTTTGTTAGTGCAGTTTCCCAAAATCACACCATTAAAACAATTTATGATACGGTTTCCCGAACCGCACCAAAAAATCATGTGGAAACCGCCCCAAAAAATAATTAAAACCGCACCAAAAAAAAATTGCACTAAAAAACAATTCGCACTAAAAAAATATTGGACCGCACCATTAATCTTTCCTCTAAAAATTTCATTCGAAATTTTCATTTCGCGCTAGATCCCTTCAAAGTTCGTTCAAAATTTTTATGTTTTTCAAAATTTTCATTCATCTTCCCTCTTTTATTTAAAGTTGGATATGCAACATCTTCTCATAATTATAGATTTGTCAATTCCATGCTTGAAAACGCATGTAATGTATGTCCATTATTTATCTTTTTTTCATTAACGGCATTTTTGCCTCCATTTTTCTCGTATTAATTGTAAATGGATTTCCTATTTTAAGTTTTAATGATGTTTTTTTTGTTCTGAATCTCTGCAGATGCATCTTCTTCCGTGATATATCTCCAAAAAATGATCAAAAGACTTATGATGTTTGATTAAGTGACTTTCAATCAACGGGTATGGAGCTAGTTTTTGCAGAGTGAGTTTTAAGATGTTGAAAAAGGAAATTGAAAACAACATCGATGAAATGTAATTTTCCAAGAACAAAATTTTTTTTTTTGAACGGCTTAAATTTTATTAAAAGCAACTAGCAAGGAGCTAGAGATAAAAAAACAATTACAAAGAAATTAAAGCGTTTTTTAACCACTCAGACCAAGACATAAAAACTTTTCTATTCCTACTAGAAAACCACAAAAAAGAATAATCTACCACCATATCAAAAATCAGCTCCTTCTCTTTGCCATTATTCCCAAATAGCACATTGTTTCTATACATCCAGAGAACCTACAAAGTAGTCTGCACAATCACTTGAAGGAGTTCTCTTCTTAGTTTAGTAATTATCAAAGAATCCGGCCAAGAAAGTAAACTCGAAAGAGGTAAATGAGATGGAACTTGCATTTCCACCCATTGAGAAACAAAAGCCCATGTACGCGCTGCAATTTCACATTCCCCAAACAAGTGCTTCAAGTTTTCAACATCTGAACAACAAAGAGGGCATAAAATCGATGGGACATCAATACCCTTAGTAACCAAGTTCGTTCTCAAAGGGAGACGATCATATAAAAGGCGCCATATAAAAATATTTACCTTCCTAGGTAGAAGAACATTCCAAATCATATTGCAATCCACATATGGTAACAATATTTGCTCAATACATCTCCGAGTAGCTTTCACTGAGAAATTACCGTCATCATCAAAATCCCACCACCATTTATCTTCCTCCATACCTAATTGTCTACCTTCCACTAAAACTCGAAGATCTTGAAATTGAGAAAGTTCCACACCTTCATGAAGGTCTCTACTCCAATTCCAAACACATAAACCATCACGACATCTCTCACTAACCAAACAATTTTGGTTAAGGTCAAGGCGAAACAACACTTGAAATCGAAGAGCCAAAGGGATGCCTCCACACAAGTAATCCTTCCAAAAAGCAGTAGAATTTCCATCTCCAATCTTTCTGAGAGCCATAGAATAAGGAATTACACCTTTATTGTTCATTATATCCCAAGATTTCATAATACGACCCCACACGCCATTTCCAGAACTAGACCTGCCAAAATGAGGATGAGAGCAATTTCCATGAAGTGCAATAATAACCTTACGCCACAAGGAATTCGGTTCAGTGAGAAAACGCCATCTCCACTTCTGAAGGAGTGCATAGTTAAAACACTCCAAACTACCGATTCCGACCCCACCTTGGTCCTTTGGAGCGATAACTAAATCCCAAGCAACCCAATGGATCTTTCTAGAACCCTCTTCAGCTCCCCAAAAAACTGGGCTCTGAGAGATTCCAACATCTTCTTTATTTGAACCGGCATCAGAAACATAGACATAAAATATTATCCCAACGACCCGAGAACGGAGGAAAGAAGCATGGAACGCCCACCTATAGACAACATTTTCATTTTCCACGAGGCTAACTTCTTTTTAAAGCGATCAATAATTCCTTGCCAGCTCCGAACCCTAGACATATTCTCTGCCACTGGAAGGCCCAGGTATGTAAAAGGCAATTTCCCAGAGCACAACCAGTAACCCTCGCCATCTCCTCTACTTGGCTATAAGTAACCCCTACACCATACAAATTGGATTTATGAAGGTTCACCTTCAAACCCGAAACCATGAAGAAACAATTCAACACCATTACCATGTTTTCCAAATTCATCTTATCCCACTTTCCCAACAACAAAACATCGTCTGCATAGAAAAGATGAGAAATAATAAAATTATCAGAGCCCACCGCAACGTCGTCCAAAAAACCTTCAGCTTTTGCATCTTCCAAAGCAACATGTAATCCTTCGATGACAATGATAAACAAAAAAGGAGAAAGAGGATCTCCTTGTCTAAGACCTCTTTCTAATTGGAACTCTTTAGAAGGGCTTCCATTAACCAGCACAGATGCTTTTGCCGAATTAAGACTAGCTCGGATCCACCCCTTCCATCTATCACCAAAACCCATGAAATTGGTAGATAAATAGAAATTACAGAGATTGAAACCACCCCTTTCGGAGAAAAAGAAATTACGATTAAACCTTTGATTGAAAAACACTCACCGAACATGCCTAAATACAAGAAAATGAAGTTTCATAAGTAGCGTGGTGTGCATCAATGGTGAACCGTTTTGCGGTTTTAGCTAGCTATTTTTTGAGGCGGTTTTGACTATTTTTTGGTGCGATTTTGGATATTTTTGAGGCAGTTTTGGCTATTTTTTGGTGAGATTTTGGCTATTTTTTTAGGCGGTTTTGACTATTTTTTAGTGCGGTTTTGGAACCGCACCATTAAATAAGGGTATTTTTTGATGCGATATTTTTTGGTGTGGTTCGATACCCGCATCAATTAATCATTTTAACCGCATCAACAAATGTTTTCTGGTACTTTCAACTTTTCTTTTTCTTACGAGACATTGTGCTTTGAGAAAATATATTTAATTTTAATATTATGTTATTTGAGAAAATACCCAAGTTACCCTTAGTATATATATTAAATGGCATAAATGCCTTTGAATTTGCTTTAATATATTTGTTTGAATTGGCTTTTTTAACGGTGTTGCTATTAGAAATATTATAATAACAATGTTATTGCTAATATATTAACAATAATTAAAAATTGATAATTATAATAATAATAACAATTTAAATAATACTCCTAATAGTAAAATAATAACGAACATAAAGATTAATTAATAATATTAATAATCTTAAAAATATTATTAATATGTTTAGTTAAAGTGCAACAGTTGATTGAAGAAGGGCATGTGGTGAATATATTCAAGCTTTGACTCCACTAGTGTGAAGGTCAAGTAAAAGTCCCGCGTGACACCCACAAACTTTTAGCCTTTTCGGCACCAACAGCCGAAAGTTAGAAATTTCTATGCAAGTAAATATGGGGTCCAACAAAATTTTAATATTAAAATTATCTATTGAGAAAGTAAGATAAAACGAACCGTGTAGGAACCTGTCACAATTCACATATCACGGCTAATTTAAGGGTTTAGTCCCAATGAAATTTGTGATTACCATCTAATCACCTCATAATACCCACAGGGCATCTTCTCCCAATTAACTTCTTTACCTATATAACAATCCACTTCCAATTGTTTGCAACACTTGGTTTTAGTTTTATACTTACCATTTGATTGACAAATAATGGAGGCCTTCATGGAGGAGTTTCAACATCTTAAGATCCAACTACAAGAGATAAACTTAGCCACCGCCAACTTTGATATGAACAACGTTATCGGAAAAGGTGGATTTGGGATGGTGTACGAAGGAGTACTTTCTCACTCTAAGGGACAAAGCATGGTTGCTTTCAAGCGTTTAAATCGTAGCAATGGTCAAGGAAACTGTGAGTTCTTGAAAGAGATCATGATGCTCTCCCGCTACACACATGAAAATCTCATCTCTCTACTGGGATTTTGTGACGAGGATGGTGAAAAGATCCTTGTGTACGAGCATGCATATAATGGAAGCCTTGATCGCCATTTGAGTAAGACTACCCTCACGTGGAGGCAACGTCTCAAGATATGCCTTGGGGCTGCAATGGGATTGTGCTACCTTCATGATCCCAAGGAAACACATCAAAGAGTTCTCCACCGAGATATAAAAAGTTCCAACATTTTGCTAGATGAGAATTGGAATGCAAAAGTCTCCGACATGGGGTTGTCCAAAATAGGACTTGCTAATCAACAACACACGGCTCTTGTCTCCAATGTTGTAGGTACCTTTGGGTATGTTGATCCAATGTATGCGGAGAACAGTATCCTAACGAAAGAGTCAGATGTATATTCTTTTGGCGTGGTCTTGTTTGAAGTATTGTGTGGGAGACTATGCTTTGAAATTAATGATGGTGATCATTTTCGGTGTTTAGTGCGGACGTGGAAACAAAGCTATAAACAAAAGAAATTGGATGAGATTATCTTTCAAGATTTGAAGCAATACATAGATCCACGTTCACTAGAAATATTTTCAGCCATTGCGTATCAATGTTTGCAGAAATATCGTGAAGCACGACCAACGATGTCTCACATTGTGGAATATCTCGGAATTGCGCTTCGGCTTCAGGAGATTTTTGAAAAGGTAGGACAACCAATGAACTTTGAAGAGATGATTAAGATTGAGGTATCCAAAGGGAAACTAAAGATGCTTCTCTCTCGTCAAGGAATGCTCATTAACGGGGGCAAAATGGTATTTATCTATCTTTAAACCGTTGCTTTAGGATTTTTTTTTTATTAACTTTGTTATTGGTAAATTGTGATTTATGAAATATTAAGCATTTATAGCTTAATTTCAGGAAATTTCACATGATTAAAACTAAATGATGCTTGCAAAGTGAAGCTTTCAACTACAATACATTTGAAACCAACAAAAACACTAGAATCCACCCATCAAAGTTACAAATGGACACACGCACACATAAGCACCATTAGCCGATCCATAAAAAGACTCATCGCGCAACCAACACTGCTCTCTTTTCTATTTCTTTTGAGATTAATGTAGTCTTTTACTTATATGTTTTGAAGGGAATAGGTGTGGCCAAATCCATTGTAGAAACGCCAACAAGTGTACCACAAAAGGAAAAACCTTTAAAGTGTCCCAGATGCGAATCAACAAACACAAAGTTTTGCTATTACAACAACTACAGTCTTACTCAACCAAGACACTTTTGCAAGACTTGTAGAAGGTATTGGACTCTTAATGGGTCTCTAAGAAATGTTCGCGTTGGCGGTGGTTCAAGAAAACCTAAGCGATCATTTCAAGACTTGTAGAAGGTATTACAAGGAATTGGACAATTTTAGAAATTTTGTGATTTATTTTTTCAATCACAAACAAGGCCTTGTCCCTTTTTTCATTTTCGGAAACAAAATGGCATGCCGGATGCAGTTTCCTTTGTTTTGAAAAGTACATGTAACTTATATCAGTTGATTTTATGGTGAATTCTTTAAGATATATTGAAGAGAAAACGTATATTCAAGACAATTACATACAGTGTTGGATTAATTGGGATCCGGAGTAAATTACACGAATGGTCCCTATGGTTTAGGGTAATTTGCACGTTTGATCTCTAACTTATTTTTGTAACGCGGAAGGTCCCTACTGTTTGTTTTTGTTACGCGCTTGGTCCCTGTCTTACCTAAAAATACTATTTTGCCCTTGATTTTTTAATTTATTTAATTAAACACACCCCCAACCCCACCCCCTCTCACCTTACCTTACCTACCCCACCATTTTTCCCTATCTAAATAATAGTTTTTTAGGTAAGACAGAGATCAAACACGTAACAAAAACAAACAGTAGTAGGGACCAAATGCGTAACAAAAACAAACAGTAGAGACCTTCCGAGTTAAAAAAAATAAGTTGAGGACCAAGCGTGCAAATTACTCAAACCATAGGGACCATTCGTGTAATTTGCTCTTAATTTTGTTTTCTTGGAGGGCAGCCTTGAACAAGATCCCAGCAGATTTCATTCTTTCTCATGTTCATCAGTCATGTCATCCTTGATGATGATTCGGCATTAATGAATTTTTTACATGATAATACCAAGTTGATGTGGATTTTTGTACTATTCACAATTTAAAGTCTCGTGATCATTCTCATAGGTACAACGCCTTAAACAAAAAATATGTTTTCAAAAGTACAAAACTTTGTTTAACTATGCTACAAAGATCGGTTAACAATATATTATCTTGGAACATGAAAATTTGTATCAAACCATTAATAGTTGTGTTCAATGCAAAAATAGCAATGTATTTTCATGTATATGTTTACTTTAACATCTTTAATTTTTTATACATCATTAAAGAATTGTACCTCGAAAAATCTATCAAATTCTAGCATTGTACTTCAAAAAACCAAAACTAAAACATTGAAAATTGCTTTGTATATAGATGACAATGTTATAATCTCATAGATTTTTCAAAGTAAAATGTTGCAATAGAAAGAAACAAAAAGTATGTTGATATTTCTTGCATTTAACCCACAAACACAATAGTTTTCAAATATTCCAAAACCCAAAAAAGAGTCACAATCATTCATATGAAGAAACAATTAACAAGACAAGAAAAAAAGAATTCCAAATGATAAATTATCATTGTTCACCAAGAACTAAACTGTTAAAAAGATAAATTCACGATTACAGTTACATTAAAAGAAACAATAATTTCCATTAAAAAAAACAAAAACAATTACCATTTTGAAAGACATTATTCATATAGCCACCACAGCTTTCTTTATGCAAACATGTAAAGACAGAACCCCATTATAACCCACAAACTCTGTAGGGGCAATTAAGTAATTCTTTACAGGTCCATGTTCACACCACTCTGCATATATCTCTGGAACAGATTTCAATGACAAAGATGTCTCCATGTTTTTCACAGTCAATTGATATAAAAAACTAGTCTTTAACAAACTTGGGCCCACACAATCAACATTCAAAACACGCCCATGTTGTTTAGCTTCATGATTGAGTATAAAGATGACACTTTCATGTTGTTCTTGAAGAAAGATGTGTTTTTTGTTAGTTTCTACATTAACAATGAAGGTGGTGTTGTAGGTGAAACGGGTAGTGGAGGCTGCATGTTGGATGCCAAAATGGAGGTTGAGGTTCTTGGAAGAACCAATAAATGGACAGGATGAAATAGGGCAATAACATTTGGTGTGAGGGCATGTTTGTTCATGATCATTCCTTTTGCTATATGGGATTGATTCTTTGCATCCATATGGAGTGTTTTTGCATGATATTTTAACGGATTCTAAGACTTTTTCTATAGCTCTACAACGATTGTAGCCAATTGGCATGCAGCAAGAAGGGCACTTTCTTTTCACTTTGTGGCAGCATGTAGAGCATGCTATATGGCCATTCTCACACTGCAAATATCGGTATATCACCATGAAATAACTTCTATAGACAATTTGATAGTATGTGAGTGAAATGTAGAACTGAAAAGTGGTCATTCTTTCTTTCAAGGTAATCTTAATTTATCAGTTAAGATTACCTTCTGATTTAACCCTAATTTTACCCAATTCAAATGAGATGTAGAGACATATAAAGAGAGATGAAATGAAATACCTGGAAGACAGGGGAAGACAATGGATCAAGGCAAATCGGGCAATCCAATACATCTGGATCAGTAAGCACCACCTGTAACGCTCCATTTGCGTTGTTGAACACCGGCGGGGGAGTACTAGAGCTTTTCATCGGAGCGGTGGTATTTGATAACCCTATGTGTGACGAACGCACCGGCAACGGCCCATTCTGCCCCTCTGATAGTGGCTGCACCTCTGTAACTTGAATATCATCTTCATCGCTTCCAACGTCTTCGTCTTCTTCATCGTCATCCTCCTCTTCCACGGCCTCCGCTTCCACCTCGTCGTCCTCATCGTCTTCCTCTTCTTCAGATCCTTGCGAATCCGATTCTACCTCTTCCATTACAATAAACTCCCCAAATTCTTCGTCTTCCTCCTCCACAAACGGCGGTGGCGGTGGCGATGGGACAGATCTCTGAGACCGGGGTTGCGATTGAGATGCGGGTTCGGCGAATCTTGGCCGTTTATTGGCAAGTGAAGTATCGTCGTCGTCTTCGCCGATTGAAAATCTCGCCATCGTAATCGCACTTTCAACTCTCCTGGAAGTGATTTGATTCGTGGAGGCCGTCGATGCTTGGGATCCATCGTTTATCTGATTTTTCACACGCAACCGCATTAATTTACACTTCCGATTTAACCCTAATTTTACCCAATTCAAATGAATTTTTAAATGAAAATTTATAGGTTTTTAAATCAGAAAAATTACAATAAAAACGGGCATATTTTCATTTCATTTTTATAAGTCGTTATTAAATTGTTAAATTTTTTTAATGGGTTATTTAACTAATTTCAACAATTCAATTAAAAGAGTATTTTATATTTACATAGTTGTTTGTGTATAGAGAGGTACATTTTATACGTAATATGTTTACTTGAAAACAAATTATAGTCTTCAAAATAAATGAACTTACCGTCCTTGAAGTGTCGCAGATTTCGACCTTAATACCGTATGGATAAAGAACCGGGTAAATCATGTTAGACATGAACTTTTTGAAATTGTTGTTTGCTCAAATCTCGAATCGTTCGTTGTCTAAACTTGTGTAGATTTATGGTTTTCGTGTGGCTTTGCGTCTTTTTTATATCGATTTATGATATAACGGTAATATTGAAATAAAAATATTACAAGTATTATAACGGCTATACGACTATCGGATACATTTAAAATTTAAAATGAAAATATCTAGGTGTGAAATATTTTTATATAGATTTATGATACAATTGTAATTTTGAAATTAAGAGTGTTACTCTTTCTGCAACGGCTATATGACTAACGGATATCTTTAAATATTTAAATGATACTATCTATATGTAAAATGTCTTTTTAATACAGATTTATGATACAACGGTAACATTGAAATAAGAGTGTTACTTTATTATAACGATTATATGACTAACAAAAACATTTATGGTCAATCCTACGATCATACTCCTATCTTACCCAAAAACGACTCAAGTATTATCGGAATCATTTTACCTAGGTGAGATTGTAAGATCGTATGATCATGATCGTGATTTTAACAACTTTGATATAATTTATTTCACAAATGTTTTTTTTCTAAAGATGATTTTTTGTAACTTTTAGATTATTATTTTTACTTTAAAGAAAATATTCTAAGATAATATCATATGGCAAATAGATAAATACAATAAGATAGTATTAACATAATAATTTATATCACATAGAATACATTACATTAATAAAACAAAAATTAAACTAAATTAGAAAAAAAAACAAAAATATTTATTAAAAAACCCTTAAACTTGTATCATATTTATGAAAAAAAAAAACATTATATTATCTCTAACTAGTTTACTAGGTAAAAACTAAAATATGTAAATAATTGAAACTTTTTTGGGCCTAAATGTTAAAAAAAAAATACTATAGTTTAACTCAAAATACAAAAACTTTTACAAAGATTTCCCTTTTAATAACTTTTAATCTGAAAGGAAATGTTTAATATTTCAATAAAGTGAAGCATAATGAATAATAACTCATAATCTAAAATAAATGATTTAACATTTTAATAAACCAATCTAAATAATCAACGAACTAATGAATAGTATACACAAAACATCACCTTCAATTTTTGTCCAAAACATAACAAAAGACCCAATAAGTTAAAATATGATAATTATATAAACAAACAACAATAATAATGCATACATATCTATCCTAACCCAAGTCAATCTCATAAGTCAAAACTCCCCAAATATTGTTGGCATCTGAAATCGGACTCATGAGTTGTTAGTATAAATCACAAACACTCAGCTTTTGTCCATTCTACAAACTAGACAATGTGAGCCATCACACAATGCCACACGAGGGGTAGATAACCACACTTGTGCATTTGAGGTCTTTCTAGAATCCTTTTCATGGCCCTCTAGTTGGGTTAGTGGTAGATCCAGAACAAAATTTTATTGGTAGCACTACCTTTTATTGCGTAATATAAATGAGTTCGGTTTTCGGGTTTGGGTTAAACAGGTTCGGAATTTTTGTATTTTTATGGATTTAAACCAAGAATATTCATTGTAATAGAATAACTTCAACTGGTTAGTGTTTATATTGCAATTTAGAGTGACTTCATGTCGTGATTTCATTGGGTCCTCCCGCTCCTTCAATTGCAACAACATATTTTGACCCAATCCAAATAATTCACAATTGGCCTTCTTTCCTTTTGGATTTTGGAGTTTAAACGTTGTGATAAGGGACAGCGCATAGTTCTCCAGAAGCAGCAACTTAAACTAAAGTGAAAAAAATTACACTGATTGGGATATTTTGAGGGGTAGCAAGGCTCCAACATAGCTCTGCCAGTGACTTAGGTATTCTACAAATAAAGACCATCTAGTTGGGTATTGTTTAAATAAGGGACCTCGAAAGTCATGTGGCCACTCAAGTCAACCTAATACTAATATGAATACACATAAAAGGATGCTCAAAATCAATTCAAAACGATGTATATATTTTCTAAAAAAACAATAAATATCTCAGAAAGAGTTTCATGAATGCAAAAAAAAAAAGTACATTGGTTCACACATAGAAAGAAGACTATAATATATGATATCAAAACAAAAGAAACCATATATGAAATCAATCCAAAAGTAGCCATATATGAGATCAAATCAAAATCAATCTTATAAGAAATCAAACCAAAACAACAACAAAGTAGTATAATAACTTGTACTCCCGGTAAACCCACCTTAGTAGTTTGGTAACTTTCTCTTTACCTTTTTACGAAACTTGTATGTCCTCACCTATTGATTATAGCAACTTGTTACAAAAATAACCAAAATACCATACAGTAAATTTTTATCATTTTGACTTCATTTTCCAACTCTAACCCTTTTTCTTAACCTCCATGCAAAATTTTTAAGTCAATCAAAGTTCGTTTGCTATTTTAAACAAAATTAAAAGGAAAAATATATGGAGAGCCACATATCTTGAGCTCGGTTAGGCCGTGTTTACCTTGGTTTTGGGACCGGGTGGGTTTTACCTATATTAACTCAAAATTTTGAAAAATTTCTCATTTAGCCCTTGTACTTTGACCTCTTAACCCAAACCTTTTACAATATAACCAATTATTTTGAATGGTTGAAATGAGTCTTAAAAAGATGTGTTATCACTTATCTAATTTCACTCAATGTCCAAGGTTTCAATGCCTCAATAGTTTAATGGATCAATCATTGTCACACCCCCGAACCAGACGACGGAAACGTCCGGGGGATTGGTGTGACTTTCAACATTGTAGTATCATTACAGAGTATATAATTGAAACATAACATCATTATCATCACACATGTAATATAACAACATTCATTGTTTACATCAAGTATTGTATTTGAATATTACATGCCAAAATAGTCAGAGTATGATGAAACAAAAATATAACACAATATCCATTATTTTGTTTCGTTCATCCTCTTCAACAGTTTCCT